GTGAGGACATGCCAGAGTGACAAAAAAGCAGGGAGAAAGACACAAGCCGGGTAGAAAGGGGGGGCCCCCGGCCCCGGGCGCGTGGCTATGGGGGGGCCCCGCCCCTGGGTGGGCAAGTGTCCCCACCCCCTGGCGCCCAGCGGGCGAACGGCCACGCCCCCTGGCGCCCGCCAACCTGAAAAGGTTGGGGACCACTGGTCTAAATCTATCTTGCACCAAGACCTGATAGTTACCATGCTTGGGCTTCCGTGGTTCTCCATAGGAAGCAAGCTCCAAAGGCTCTAACGAAGTCAATCTACTTGAGTTGTTGGGTGCACATACAATATGAGATCCAGCACAGATTCTATAAGGGGGGATCTAGAATAGAGAGGGAAGGATGGTTTTGTGTTCAAGCCACTGGACAAAGACTCAAGAGATTCATTTCTTAAGTCTGGCACAGACTTGCTTTGTAACAGGGGAAATCACTGAGTGCTTCAGTCCCCAGTCTTTTACTTTAAATTTGTACAGTGTTTAACAAAGGAATTCAAGGTGGGGATATGGCCTATAAAATAGACAAACAGGAGCGGAGGGGGAGGGGCAGGGGCAGTTTGCCACTCCTCTCTTCCCATGTTAATTGGATTGAAATATGGGCAAGTTGGAAGTCATTGTGCTAAGCAGGGCACTATTGTATAGAAAAATTTGAGAACTACTATCTTAACACAATGAGTCTCCAGTCTTGGCTGTCACCTTTCAAGACACTACTGTAATATAAGTAATTAGTTCTTGAATTTTTTTCTTTAAATCCCAAATTGTATCCATTCTTTTTCTACATGATCTCACATCCTATAATCCTTTACAGCCCCGTTGCTCATTCTTTTACTCTATTTCAGCCAAAAAACCAAAATGCTGTTACAAATTACATCCTAATTTCAATTTAGTTAATTAGCTCCAATGTGGCAAAAATAAACTCAGATAATTTCAAATAAATATATTCATCTGCAATTTGTGCTTTTTATGAAGAAGCTCATGTATTCTACAGTCTCTGATGCAGTTTAAATTATTATTTTTGTACATTGTGAAATACAGCGGCAGAAATGTCGAAGAATTCAATAATTCTTTTCAGTGATACATATGCAATGATGAATCCAGTGATAAAGCCTCCTCTTGGGATACCAAAAGCTTCTCATTCTACAAATTAAATAGAAGACAGCTATACATAGTTGACACATTATAATGATAATTTTACACAGATTATAAAAAGTAATAGATCAAATTTTACTCTAGTAAACTGATCTAATCCAGATAAATTCCACTAATGGCAAATGAGTAGTCCTGTGGCACCTTAGGGTACGTCTACACTAGCCCCCTAGGTCGATCTAGGGAGGCTAATGAAGGCGACCCAAATTGCAAATCAAGCCCGGGATTTAAATATCCCACGCTTGATTTGCATGTTCCCGGCTGGTCGCCATTTTAGAAATTGTCTAGCCCAAAGTAACTGCCCGCATCTACATGCGGCAGTGAAACAGGATTCCGATTTAAAGCCCCTAAATCGAATTAGCTGGTAAACCTCATTGCAGGAGGAATACCAACTAATTCGAGTTAGGGGTTTAAATTGGAATCCCGTTTCACTGCCGTGTGTAGACACGGGCAGTTACTTCGGGCTAGTCAATTTCTAAAATGGTGATTGGCCAGGAACATGCAAATCAAGCGCAGGATATTTAAATCCCGGGCTTGATTTGCAATTTCGGTCGCCTTCATTAGCCTCCGTAGATCAATCTAAGGGCCTAGTGTAGACGTAACCTTTGGCTGTGTCTAGACTGTCATGATTTTGCGCAAATACTTTTAACAGAAAAGTTTTTCCGTTAAAAGTATTTGCACAAGAGAGCGTCTATACTGGCATGTGCCATTGCGCAAAAGATTTGCTTTTGCGCAAAAGCATCAGTGCCAGTGTCGACATTCTCTTGCACAAGAAAGCTCCGATGGCCATTTTAGCCATCGGGCTTTCTTGTGCAAGTAATTAACTTGGCTGTCTACACTGGCCCTCTTGCACAAGAATACTTGCGCAAGAGGGCTCATCCCTGAGCGGGAGCGACAGAGTATTTGTGCAAGAACCACTGAATTTGTACAGTACAAAGTCAGTGTTCTTGCACAAATACTCGCGGCCAGTGCAGACAGGCGGCAAGATTTTGTGCAAAAGCAAATGCTTTTGCGCAAAATCTTGCCAGTCTAGATGCACCCTTAGAGACTAACAAAAATATACATAATCATGAGCTTTTGTGGGTCATCAGATGAGTTGAAGTTGGATATTTCTACTCCAACTCATCTGATTAAATGGATTTTACCCAGTAAAGCTCATCATTCTATATATTTTTGTTAGTCTCTAATTAGGGCACGTCTACACAGCAGGGCTATACTCGAAATAAACTCAAGCTATATTAATTGCACAGTTTAAGTCGAATAGCTTATTTTGATTTTTGGTGCTGTCTACTCGTACAATGAGGGTTACAGGAATTGGAGTAAGCAGTCCTCCAGCTCAACATTATTTTGACATTATGTTGAAATAAGTGCTTGGGTGTAGATGCAAACTATGTTTTTCCGAAATAACGCTGTTGTGTAGACATAGCCTAAGGTGCCACAGGATTACTCGTCATTTTTAAAGTTACAGACTAACACAGATACCCCTCTGAGACTAGTGGCAAAGAAATTACTCTAGATTCTCACCAATGTAGAAGAACAAAATTTGACTGATGTTCCCAGGTGATAAATATACTAGAAGATTTACCAACTGTTGCTTGGGTCCTTTGGGGCAGGGAACTGGGGATGTGGGGTGAGTCAGTGCAGGGGCTTGAGAATGTGGGGGGCTCAGGACAGGGGGTTGAGGTGCGGGGTACAAGAGTCAGGGTTGGGGATGAGGAGGGGCTCAGAACAGGGGTTGCAGGTGCAGAAGTCAGGGCAGAGGTTTGAGAGGTGTGAGGGGACTCAAAGGAGGAGGTGTAACACTCAAGGGAAGGGGTGGGAGTAGCCAATAGCTGGTAGCTGGGAATGGCCCAGGGCAGAGGGGGCTCTCACTTCTCCCCAGAGCTGGCTTGGGGTGATGGGGGCCACGCTGCCTGGCTTCCAATTGCTACCCAGAGCCAGCCCAGGATAGCAGGGGCCAAACAGCCATGCCACTGGCTGCTCCATGGCAGTGGGAGCCATACTGGCTGGGCAGTGGCTGCTTCCTGGGGGCAGACCCGAGTGGCAAAAGCTGTTCTGCCCAAATGGCAGCTGCTCCCTGGGGCTGGGGCACTTGCTACCCTCCTGTGGTCATTTGGAAGTATAACTGTCCCTGCCATTACCACCCTCCCTTTCCATTCTATGAGAAACAATTGCATTCCACACACACCCCATTCTCCTGGCACACCAAAACCCTTACCGTGCTTTCAATTAGAATACAAGGAAGCTGCATACAAAATTTGGTGATCCTAGCTCTTACTTTTTAGCAGGAATTCTTCAACAGACTCACAGATGAACAGATGGATAGACACACAGACAGACTCACAAACTGTCTCAAATAAATAGCAGACTACAAGATTTACCTCACACTCCTTGGGTCCTTAAGTCAAATAAGTTTTTGTTTTTCTTCATTTAAATCATTCTACTGGAATAGGGTTCAGTATACAGGCTTCCCCGCAGAGAGAAGACAACCCACTACCTCTCTCACCACAGTAGCTTGGGGCAAGGTGAGAAGTGGATTTTCATGGCCACTGCAGTGGGCACAGCTGGGGAACAGACAGATAGATGAGATGCACAGAGAAATAGTGAATAGCTGTCCCTTTCTCCACCCTTCCCCCTTGCTTCACCATGGAGTTATAGCTGTCCCAGTCCCCATCTCTGGACACTTGCTGTTCCCTGTGGTCATTCTACAGTATCACTCCCTCTGCCAGACTCCTCCCTTTCCATTTTATGAGAAACAATCAAATTTCTGACACATCCCATTGTCTTGTCATAACCAAACACTGAACTTGCTTAAATTATGATAAGAGGAAGCTGTATACCAAAATTGGTGGCCCTAGTTCTTACTATTTACGAGAAATTCTTGAACAAATGGACTCAGAAATGGACAGACACACATTTCTAAAATATAGAGTAAGATTATTGCACAAATTAGAAAAGTATCTATACACAATTTCTCTACATCTGTTGACATATTATATAAAAATCTCTATGTTACAGATAGCAAAATTAAGCACTCACAAATTAAGAAATGCCAGAATTATGGTTGCTTGTGCTACAGTAATTTACACCGCCCGATGCTGGCACATTAGGATAGCTTTTTAACTGCATGATCCCATAAAATTTTTTACCAGATTCTTGCTTCTTTCAGTACACAGGATGGTTGGTGCTCACTCAATTCACTACTTCCTTTATCCTCATCATTCCTTGTGTGGTCCTATGTATTGTCTAATTCACACTGTTAAAACCCCACATTGAGTACCAAATTATTAATTTCCTTATTGGCCTTTGTTATGGTCCTATCAGTATAGCGGTATACATTCATTAATGTTTGCAAAGTGTTATGGTGAGGTGGTATTGTCCCCATTTTACACAATGAGAATTGAGGCCCAGAGATTACAGCCAAACTTCTCAAGCACCAACATACTCCGCCTGTTAAATATGAGAAGCCAAATTTTTCACAGAACAGCCATTGTATATGTTCAGAGCACAGTTTCCATTATCTCAGTTGCAGTAGTGAGTGTTCAGCACTTCTGCAAATCAGATCCCATGTGTCTCAAGCTGGGTGCCTAGAAAATGCGGAACAGGTGGAGGCTGCCTGTGAAAATGGTTCATGTGACTTGCCCAGCCTCACAGGAATTCTGTGGCAGGGGCAGGGATATAATCTAGTCCTCCAGAACAACATTCAATTGCTTTAACCGTGCAACCAGCCTTTCTCTTTCCACAATTTCCAACTTCAGCAATAAATGAATCAGAATCATACGGACAACAGCATGTATGGTGAGAAGGGATTCCTATTCTTAAAGCTATGTACAGTTATTAAAGCCTGTTAGCAACTCCCACTGAATAATTCATACCTTGCTGTAGTGCAGGGGTCTGCAACCTATGGCTCTAGAGCAGTGATTCTCAAACTTTTTGGCACATGGACCACTTGGCTCAGTACAAACCGTTCCATAGACCACCAGTTGCTAATGAAACTCACCATTAATTACATAATTATGCCCAAACCATTTTGCTAGTGCTACAGACAGGGAGAATGGTTTAATTTAAATTATTAAACAGATTAAGCAGTTTAACTTTCTCATGTTGGTTTATCAAACTTCATTTTAAATAAAGTAAAATATTAATTTATGTCCAATACAAAAGGTTTCAATGTTTTCTTTATTTATGGCAGGGATGGGGAACCTTTTTTTGGATCAGGGGCCACTGACCCACTGAAAATTCAGTTGGGGACCACACAAGTGAGAAGCAAAAAAAAACTCCTCCAAAAAAAAAACCAAGCCTCATTGATGTGTCCTGCAATTGAGACACCTCACTCCTCTGGTGCTCCTGTCCCAAGGGACAAGAAGAAGGGACAGGGAGGACTGAGGTTCAGGGCTTCCCATAGGCCAGTTTTACTTTTCTGGGGTTCCAGAGCTAATGGATTTTGTGGAGCCCCTTAGGCTCTGGTGTGGAGACAAAAATGAAGGGTTCAGTGTGTGGGACAGGGCTGCCTGCAAGTGGGATAGGAATGGGGGTGTAGGATCTGGGTGGGAGATGGGGTGCAGGATGCAAGGTCTGAGAGGTAGGGTACAGAAGCAGGATGGGAGTAGGGTGTCTTGGCAGGGGGAAGGAGCAAGAGCAAGGGAGGGTACAGCCAAGAGGGAAGGTGCAAGAGCAATGGTAGATGCAAGAGCAGGGTGGGGGGGTATGTGTCCACCCAGGGGGGAGGGTGCAGCAGCAAGGGAGGGTGCAGGAGAGGGTTTAGGGTAGGGTGGGGGGAGGGTGAAGAAGCAAGGGAGGATGCAGGAGAAGGCTGGAGGTAGTGTGTCTGGCTGGGGGAGGAGGGTGCAGAGCAGGAGTGGGCAATAATTTCTGATGGGGCCCACTCCAAGAATTTGGTAAGTGATTGAGAGCCACACTCTTCTATTATTAATGGAGGAGGTGTGGGGGTCTGGAATGGAGGTTGGGTGCAGAAAGGAACTTGCCTAAAAGATTGGGGTGTGGCATCGGGGAGGGAATTTGGGTGAAGGGAGGGATCGTGCCTTGGGGCAACAGAGTGGGATCAGAGGGGGTCCAGGGACTGGAAAGGGAGTGTGACCCAGGGTAGCAGTGCAGGGGTTTGGGTTGTGACTTGGGACAGGGGATTGGGATGCAGAGTCTGGGAAGAGTATGAGTGCAGAAGATTCTGGCCCTGGGGAGAGGTGTAGGAAGAGGACGTGCAGGACTTGGAGGGGATTGGGACCTGGGGCAGGAGTGCAGGACAGGGTTCAGGGTGTGGGAGGAGGTTGTAACCTGGGGCAGGAGTGGTGCGGGGTCAAGGATTTGGGCTGTAACCAAGGACAGTGGATTGGAGTGCAAGGCCTGGGAGGGAGTTATGACATGAGGTGGGGCATACAAGGAGATGCAGTGTCTGGGAAGGTCTATGGGGGCTGGAGTGGAGATGCTGCAGGTTTGGATTACGTGAGGTAGGGGGGAAGAGGTTTGGGGGAGGGAAGGGATTACTTTGGCTGGGAGACCTTACCCGGCTCCCAGCCAGCAGCCCCTCAGGTTCCTTAGCCAGGGTCCCTGTCTTCCAGCCCCTGTACCTGCTCAGGGGAGCTGCAGGAGCCATATTTACTGCTTTGAACTGAATGCTGTAAAGTTGGGGGTGAATGAGGAAGAAGGGGCACTTTCCATGCTGCCTATCTGGCAAACAGGCAACTACTATTGGCTGAAACCAGCCAATGGGAGCTACTGTGGGGGAGGGCAGCATGAGAAGTCTGTTTCCCCTCCCTCAAGGCTCTCAGCATTCAGAAACACAAACACACACATGGCCCTGCAGCCAGCTTTCCTGAGTGCTGAGTGGGAGCGGAGGTGGGGCAGGCAGGGAGCCAGCTGAGGCTCTCATGGGCCTAATAGGCTCACAGATTATCTTTTGCCCAGCCCTGCTGCAGGAGCAAACTGGGGATATGGGGTCTTGGCAGGGGAAGAAGTGAGGGGGATTCAGGTGCAGGGTCTAGGCATGGAGGGAACTGCTTACCTGGCTCTGAGTCCTCATGGGTCCCAATATGGTCTCCCGCTGACCCCATTGGCTCTAACTCCAGCCAATGAGAGTAGCAGGGAAGGCCCATCATTACACTGGTGTTCCCCCAGAGTTCTGGGTGGGAGGGAGGTGAGAAATGCAGGGTAGAGCCACTTGTTCTGCTCTCTCTTCACAGTCCCTGCACCCCCATGGGAAAAGCTCTTAATTATGCTGCTGTCCCAGGATCGGAGCTTTCTTGACACTCTCTCCCTATCATGGGGAAAGCCCTTGATTACATTGCCATTACCCCCAGCTGATCTGGGAAGGAGGGAGGCAAGAAACGCAGTATGAATCTGCTCTCTGTCTCTTTTGAGCTGGTCTGGCGGGATCAGGGGTTGGTGGACACAAAGCTAGAGTGCCAGCATGCTCCCTGCTGTGGGGGTATGGGAGGGATAAGCTTGAGTTGCGGACCACACTTTGAGAACCACCACTCTAGAGCCAAATATGGCTCAGTATGGAACCAAATATGGCTAATTTGTCATTCCCAAAATACAAACAGCTTTTTTAATTAAAATGAAAAAAATAATTCACAATTTTAAAAACCTGTAATTACTCATGTCAAGATTTTTTTTGTCTATTTCACCTTTAAACCTTCATTTTAACAACCAGCACTCCTCCCCACTCATTGGGGAACATGCATATTCTCTTTTTATTTGATTGGTCAAAAAATATTTCTATCATCATATGTGATGGTGAACTCTGTGACCCCCAACAGTAAAAATGGAAACAAGAAAGAGAGATGATGAGTACCAAAATTTTTAAAAGTAGTGGACAGACTTGTATGCATTTGTGGATAGGCCTCGGTCTCCACATTGTCTCATTTGTAGTGAGAGGCTGTTCTCAAACAAAAATATGCAGCATTTGCTACAAAATACCCCGAGGATAATGCGCCGGGAGGGGTGGGGGGGGAGGAGAGAGCCTGTGAGGAGTTGCAACACAAAATGAACATGAGACAAAATAGCCTGTTGGTATGGTCAAAAAAATGGGGAAGCTTAAACTCCGCAAGTTTTATGGGCTCATACAGCATTATATGAGGGGGAAGTCTATCCAGCATTATGCAAGCTGGGAAGTCTTTCACTGATGGGGATTACATGAACTATTAGATGAGCTTCACAGCAAGGACAAAATCTTACAGAAAATCCAAGACATGCCATTATAGGAAAAACAGTTCATGAAAGAGCTGTGAAAATGGCCCAGCAAATCAACAATGAACAAATGCAAAATCTGAGTACAGCTACTTATTTTTCATGTGCTTTGGACAAGACAACCAACATATGTAATGTTAATCAGTTGCGTTTTCTGGGATGATATATTTGTGGAAATGCTGTTCATTAAGAAATTATTGAGATATTACCAATGAAAAATCAAAGAAGGGGCAAAGACATCCTTAAAACTGTGTTGAACTTTGTAAACAAGAAAGAAATACAATTGGATAATCTTGAGTTTGCGTGTATGGACAATGTATCTAGCATGGTCAGCAAATACAGGGAATTCTTTACTCTTGTCGGAACAGCTGAACTGCCTGCTTTTGAACTTTCATTGCCCTGTGCATCAGGAAGCATTTTGTGTACAATCTTGTGGAACTGAACTCAAAAATGTAATGGGACTGGTCGTTCATATTGCCAATTGGATTCTTGCCTGAGCCCTTAATCACGGTCAATTTCAATCACTGCTCGAGGAAGTAGATTCCGAATACCACAGTCTACTAATACACAATGTTTGCTGGTTTATCTTGTGGCAATGTTTTCTGTCATTTTGCCACCTGCATTAATGAGATTAAGTCATTTTTTTATCTGAATGGTGTCAAACACACCAAGCTTTCAGACTGTGACTGGTTGCTCAAGTTTTACTATCTCATCAACATTACTGGTTATTTGAATGAGTTCAACCTTAAGCTACAAGGGCAAGGAAATACAGTCCTGACTCTGCAGCAGGTAGTGTTTGGATTTGAGTAAAAATTGACTGTCTTCATCAAAGATATCAAGATGGGCAGACTTGCATATGTCGAAAAATTACCAATATTTTGTGATTCTTATCAGAGAGAAAATCCAAATAACAGCCTTGATTTACAGCAGCTTGACGGCTTTGTTTCTGAGCTCCTGGTGGCATTCAAGTCTTGTTTTGTTCACTTTTGCAAACACAGAGCTCGGTTTATGATTTGTCCACATAGAGTGTCCATTGAAGTACTGGATTTGACAGTCATTCCAGGCATCTCAGTCAGTGATTTGGAAATGAAAATAGCAGATTTCAAAGAGATGGATATCTGGGTGGAAAAATTCATCAAGCAGAATTCTGATTTAGAATGCCTTGCTTGACAACATGCAGAATTGACAAAACTGCACAAGTGGGCTAACATGAAGAAATTGGAGCACGATGATAATCTGATTCTGCAAACCTGGAAAGAACTTCCTGTCATATACAACACCATGCAGAATGTCAGCTTGTCCTTACTTTCAATGTTTGACTCCACCTATATGTGTGAGCAGGCTTTCTCTCATTTGAATCACATCAAGGGTACTTTGCGCTCAAGTTGAACAGAAGACAGCCTGAATGTTGAGTGCATGAAGCTGAGTTTGACCAGTTATGATGTAAACTTCAGAGAAATGTGCAAAAAGATGCAGCAGCAGAAGTCCTATTCAATGAAGTCCTTAAGTATGTTTCATTTATGCTATTCTTAATCATGTCAATCATTAGTAATATTAAGTTGTATATTTTCAGTCATGGAAATGGGCATTCCTATACTGGTTCTTTGTTGACCACTTGTTCTGAATTTTGATGTAATTTGGCTCTTTGGTTTGAAAAGGTTGCCAACCCAACCTATATGAACCAAATATATATTTGGTTCATATATGTGATCTTACACTTAAGGCAGATTTCTACTGCTGTTACTCTGTATCTGGTGAAAGGGCACTCTGTATCTCCTCGCAAATGAATGATTGTAACTGATGACTACCATGACATTATTTTTCCTAAAGTTAGCCAGAGATGGAGCATATCAATATTTCACGCATTAGTTCTCTGAGAAACAGAACCTAAGCTTAACATTTTCTTCTAGGGATAAGTGTACTGCATTTGCATCATGCCAATACTAACTTAGAGTTGCCAATTCAATTTGCTGCTGCTATTGGCATCAAAAGAAAGACAAGGTTTTGTTGTTTGCTTCGTTTTAAATGCAATTCACAGAGGATCATGAAAAAGTCAAAGGAGTGACTGGAAGAAAGGCTAGTTAACAAACCCAAAAACTAGCACCTATCCAGAAAAGCATGTTCTCTAAAAAGGTCCTTAATTCTGAAGCATGCCAAAGACAGAAGGGAGGCTGTGGTTCTGTAGCCTGACCAATTATTACAATTATGAAATGTATAGAGGTCCAACAAGCATTTGTTATGAATGACAGGTTTTTTTTCAGGTGGCTAATTAAGATGAAATTGGTGAAGCATACAGAAATGTCATGAGCTTTACTCAATACAAATAATTGAAATCACAGGAAAAATCAATATAAGTAAGAATAAGATATACACTATAGTGATTTCCTGCATTGTTCAAACCTAGTTTTTTACTGCACTACAACTTTATACTTACGTTTCCTTTCTTCTAAAGGTTTCCATCAAGTTGTAAGTGGCGATCACAGGAGGGCACTGGGCCAGGGTTCTCCTGGTGCCCCAGCAATAGGTGAGATAACTAAATCCTTTATACACTTATTTCATCCATGCATGTTCAGGATCATATCTGATAAGGGTTTCAGCCCCTGCCCATGTGAGCTATACCAGGTAATTATAGTTAAATTTCTGAACATGGGCACAAACCATTTGATATGATATCGAAATGCAATTAACTGCATGTCTACCTTACTGCAAAGGTTCCCTAAGGTGCAACCAAGTTGACCTACTTACCACACAGTGCATTTCTAAACTATCACAATATACTTTTTGCTAATACAAAATACTCGTGTTAGCTTATGCCACTGCCTACTTCTTTTGGCACTCACTCTAAGCCCTTAATACTAAAAACCGATAGCCAAGCCTATTTTTAACACATATATTTGGATTTTTCTAGTTGCTGTTACAGCTTCAGTAACTTTTTTATTATTTCTCTACGGATGGCTAACAGATAGATTATACTTTACCCAAAACCATTTGCCTTCCAATGTCAAGTTGGGTCACCAGTCAACAACCCTCATGTATCTTTGTTAAGTGTGGATTCCCAGTTGAGCAGGTTCTCTCAATAGTGAAAACCATTTCTGTAAGAGCCGGTGACATCAAGGATGAAACACATTCTGTTTAGAAAGAAGTCTGCTGCTATCTCCTATATTTCTGTTTGTTGCTCCTTTTTCTTTATTAATAAAAGTATTTGCATAAAAATGCACTCTTTGGCTCTTCAGAGTTCACCTGTTTCTGCAGCTTTTTCCCCCACATGAATCCCTACGAGTGTTTGTGATATCACAATTGGTTGCTGTGGAAATGATTAGATCACAAAGAGAGGATTATAATTTTTAGTAGGCAATATGCAGCAGTAAGAGATGAACTCGCATGCAAGGAGACCTAGTTTCTATGAAATTGTCAGAGTTTCATCTCTTTCTCTCATTCTGCATCATCACTAAGGAAAGAAAATATGTACAGGCAGTCCCCGAGTTACGCGGATCCGACTTACGTCGGATCTGCAGTTACGAACGGGGCCCTCTCCCTGGTCTCCAGCAGACCAGGGAGAGGGAGCAAAGCGGCGCAACACGCGGGCAGCAGACAGCCCAGACGC